TAACAGCTAACGGCTGATGTTGTTTTTCTGGGGTGCTCATTGAAGATGACGTCACGGCTCCGCCTACACTGCGTTACTATAGTTACTGCCCCAGCTACTAAACTAATGGAAACGCAGCATAAAGTGAGCCAGTCCTAACAAGGCCTAACGAGGCCTAGCCATACCGAGCGAGGCCCTGTAGTGGAAATGCGCCATAACATATCTCTGTAGTGGTTGGCTAACAGGAGCCTTACTAAATGTGTTGATCCTTGGTTGTCGCCTCGTCATTCACTTGATTGTCCATTTTTCCCCCATACCTGACTGGTTGCCTCCTCATCACATTGAACCTGAAACTGACCTAATTGTTTAGATGATATCCCCTAAACCCAGCTATTAATTCATGTTTCACAAAATGCAACATTGCTGGCTCTAGTTTAACAGTAACTGTAATCTAGGTTGTTTTTTTCCCTCTTCAGCGCTTGGATTCATTTTACAAAGCGAGTGAGCCGTTTTGTAGCCAGAGAAAGGAATGAAAGGCTTTTTTAGAACCCCTAGGTGCTTCAGAAGTGGGACAGGAAACGAGGATAGTGAGAGAATGAGGAAGAGTATATAGAAAAGGCTGCCGACTTATTAGTCTTGCCTCAGTCTCTTCCGTCGTTAGCTTGGCATTAACCCCAGATGTGGCATGTACCCTACAGTAGACACCACACTTAAACATGTAGTTGTTTTCAGTGATCTCTGCATTTGGTGGTCATACATTCCCTTTCCACTGTTGCATTAGATTTAAAACAAAAGTAGGTCACTGCACGCAAAGCAGCCCCTTCTTCACCTTTTCTTTCTCGCTTAATTCTGCTAACCTCGGAATGTCAACACTCGGGTGTTTCTATTCATTCATGGAGATGTTGCGGAGTAGGGGCGGGACATGCGTTATTGACACTTGTTTCACAGTTTGAGCTTTGATCTACACGAAGCTCAGTAAATGTTCCTGAATTTCATAACTTGTTCTAATCTCTGTGTTTGATGTAGCTTTCTGGTAAACATTGGATCAATGAGTCACATTGCGGAAATTGGGAGTATTTGCATCATCATCACGGAAGTTTATACAGGATTGTTTACTCTGTGACGGGCTTAGTTAAACCTGCACTCTGGTATTTAAACCGTTTGTTATCTAGGTGTGTTTACACAAATGTTGACTTTTCCGAGGGATTTAAGTTATTTTTATAACAAGATAAGTTTGGGGAAATAAACAAAGGTCGTATTGGGTACTTACAGCAACTCTAAATACACATTTAAGGAAAATATATTACAACATTTTGAGACATTCATGAATTATTTGCAGATAAATTCATGTGTTTTTCTGAAACTAGACTATGGAACATCAAATACTTGTTTCAGAGAATATTCAGGAACAAAGAGGCCTTGATATGAAATAAGCATATCGTCACTTATCAACATATTCAAAGCATACCAGACATGGTGAGACTGAGAAAAATATGTAAAGCAATTCTAAGACTGTGTGGCATCTTGGGTAAAGACGCCAGTAGTGATGTTTGGAAGGCTTTGTTGAATGTTTGCATGATCTGTTTACTGATCCACACAAGTTATCCTGTGAGCACCTTACAGACACAAAGGATTGAACAAAGATTGATGAAAGCTTGCATATAGGGTCTTGTGGGGAACAAAAATAGATTTAAAAAGAAAAGTCAGCTGCAGCCACTTCGTTGTAAACTGTGTGTGTTGTGACATTATTTGGCCTGTTGGGGGCAAAGAGGGGCTCTTACTAGTAATAAAAACAAACAACCATTAACAGTAGTTAGGGCTTTATCTGTTATTGTAGTTCTACTCTGATAGTCGACTAGGGCTGTGCGATTATGGCAAAAATCCTAATCACGATTATTTTTGGTCAATAATTGATATCACGATTATTAAAAACGAGTATGCATTTACTTTGAAAACATCCATTTATTGAAACAAAAATGTGAACAGTATGTTTTTAACAGTTGATTACCCTGAACTTTAAGTATAATTCAACTGAAAAACCAAAAAAAAATAAAAATGAAAAAAAATAATAATTACATTTTTTTATTTTTTGATAAAAATAATAATCGTTTTATTTCGATTACGTTGTTTTCGTAATCGTTGCAAGTCAAAATCGTAATCGAGATTAAAATACGATTAATTGCACAGCCCTATAGTCGACTGTCAGTTACTGAGTTACTAAATGAAAAAGTTACATTTTCATAGACATGTTTTTTACTACCAAAGGCAACAAGGTATACCAGACTTTAACATGGCCATTAATCAATGTCTTTGTTATGCAGGGCTAGCATTGTGTCCTTGTATTTTACGATCATTTCCTTTTTTTAATAGCCTGTTTCATAATAGTTGTGTTCAGTAAAAGATGTGGGCCATGTCCTCCCTGTATGTTGGTGGGTGTTTTGGTAGTAGAGTGTGAAGGGAACAGAGGAGTCACTTGAAACGCAGCACAACATAGTTTGAAGCTATGGATCTAAGTTTAGCCAGGAGCCTATATTAGCCTCCTGTGCATATCAATTGCATAGTATCTGTACAGTACTCTGCTCTTATGTTTCCTTCACTTGCGTGGTAGCACCTCCCAGACCTTTTTGGGGAAAGTATATGTGAGGTGCCAACTCATATAGGAGCAGCGGTTCATCAGCAGGGATCCAAAACAACAACGCCAAATGTCACGTCCTGCTGTCAGAGTCAGCTGTCCCTCAAAAGAGACGCCATTTAAAACATTCACACAAAGATACATCCATCATGGAAAGATATATCAACTACTCTACTATTTTGTCATCTTGACCACATCATAGCCAAAAGATGTGGTTTTTCAGTAATTGGTCAAATCTCTTGTCTAATTAATTTGGTAAATGAATGGCATGTTGTAATAGAAACATATTATACTCACTTACTTACTTTAAGAAAATCATTGTGTGATTCTTATTTGCTAATGTTTATCTATATTTACTACTTCTCCCACTTCTTAGCTAAGCTTGGGAACATTCCTTATTAAGAAGATGTGTTAGTTACACTCTATGTGCACCAACAGTATGACCTTCAACTCAGGTGAACTGATAACTTCCTGATATGGCCTCCCTAACTTCCAGCATTCTCCTTTGTTATCACCAAGCTTTACCCCTCCTCTCTCCTCTCTCTGTGTTTAAATATGCAACCCAAACTCTGTTCTTCATCTTTCACTCTGCAGACTGTATGCTCTCTGTATGACGGACTGAACGTTCTTGCAAGAAATCAAATACGACAAAGACAGCTGAATGGTTTGATTCTCTATCCACATTTGATTAATAAATTCCCGCCACACATGTCCACTTAGGAGAGTATCTGATAAGGTACAGAGCACACTTTGAATAAGATCCTCTGACAAATGAAGTCCCATCTGGATGTCATACGGATGGAGAGGTGCTGTGAGTGACGGGACTCCGACGTGCACAGATGGTTGTCTCTGTGTGATTGTGAGCTCATTGCTCATCTCTTCTCCTGACAGCCAGGCTGACAGGGCGCTAACATGACTGTCCATGTGTCCCGCTCTCCCCTGACATTGATATTTGACCGCTCAAGGGGACCTGCTCCAGTTTCAGAATCACATGATGTTTGTATCAGAGCGCTGCTTCTTTGTGCCTCTTGTCTCTGACGCAAAGTGTTGTCATGCTCCGAGTTTCATTTTTGCATTAGCCTTACCACATTGAGTACTTTCCTTCAGGTTTAAACAAATATATGAAGCACATGCCAGTGTCTCTGGTTTCCCATAATGGGCGTTACCGAGGTATTTGATCTGATTAAGTAGTTTAATGTGTTGGGTGTCCAGTTTTGGAAGTGCTTGCCTAACTCGGTGTGTGAAAAGGTCTTTGTTCGATGCTTCTTCTGCGTTTAACCTAATCGATGATTGACGGATAGCTCTAACAGTTTACTGATCGTGTCATTAAAGTTAAAATAATTTAGGTTGCTGAGGTTTGGGATAACCCTGTTTGCGTCATAGCTTAGGTAACATGTCAGGACAGACCTACACGTTCTACTTTCTACTCTCTTCATTTCAACTCTACTGATAAGGACACCAACTGGCCTCTTTTTCGTTTCAGTTCTGTTCCTATTGCACTCTCCTCAGGCCCATAGTTATAACGTGCATATCACATCATAAATCCTGTATTGAAAATATGCTCATGCTTCTACAGTAGCCCCATTGTCTGGCTGATTGTAGATTAGCATGTTAGCATGTTAGCCTCTCTCTGTGTTAGCCCTGTTGGTCCTGAGCTCACAGCAGGTAAAGAGCAGTGTTGTTCTGCTACCATTCTGCACATTTAGTATCCAAGCATAGTTAAGTGGACAGTAAAGCAGTGTGCAAAAGAAGTTTAAATGAAACTCGTGTCACACATGCACACACAGATTGTCCTGTTGAGATAAGCTTGGGGGAAGAGACGAAGAAGAGATGACTGGCTCTAAGAATTTGCCTTAAGCAACTTAAAAAAAAAAAAAACGACATGAGTGGAATACCACGTAATAATTCACAGTCTGCCTTTTTCTTTATCTCTGACTCTCCTTGTAGAACTCATTTTACCGTCAGTCCTTAGGGTTTGTCTCAGTCTCTTTTGTGAATCTCTGCTTTTCTTTGTGCTGATTCAGCCTCTTTTGCTCTAATGCACTCACAGTATTTTCTTTCCCTTTGCCAACAACGCTTGTTTCAGTTGTGCTCCCCCCTAGGGAAGGAAGTGCTCTCGCCACGGAGGATGTGATGTAGTACAGCCTTTTTTAAGTCATAATCACCCAATTATTAAAAGATATTGTGCTGATCTCCTAATCGTCGTTGTAAACAATGATGTGGAAATGGCAACAGGTTGATGCAAGCCTTTAATTATGATATTCTTTCATTGTTTTTGGACCTACTTGTACTGTTTGTACTTTGATTTTTTAGGTTCCTGTTCCTCTTTTTGATGATTGAAATAACTTTGCATTGTGTTAATACTCGATTTTTCCTGTTTTTGTTTCAGGTACCCCGGTCAATATGTGTATTGTTCAGAGCAGAGCTTGTCTGGCCCTGGTCAGTCCGCGGGGGACAACAAAAACCTGGAGGGGCAGGAGTCGGAGCAGGACTCCACGCAACTCAAGGTGTGTTGACGTTTTTTGCGCTGTAACACATTAGGCAGCTTAAATGCCATAAGTGCATATTTCACGTTTCAACCCTCACATACAGAATGTCTAAGAGGTTAATAGTGACCGCAGGAATGAGACATCAGAAGGGAGCTCACTGTAGAGCAGGGGTGTCCAAACTAAAGTCATTTTAGAGCATCATTTACCTACATTTCATTGATTTTGCCAACTTATAATTGAACTTATGAGGCGATATACCTCACTTCTAGTGAGTGGCCCAGCCCTTCGTATATTTTTCTGTATGTGGCCCTCGGTGAAAAAAGTTTGGACACCCCTGCTGTAGAGACACAGATTTCAAGTCAACAAAAAACAAAACACCATATTTCTCTTTCATTTATTTTTCAATGTGTTGTGGAATCTTCTCTGCTGCGATCAATGGGTGTGACTGAAGAAGAAACACAACATATCACTCTTTTCGCATTATCTCTCTACCTTCCAACTGATAATCTTGTTTATGATTGTAACTGTATAGGGCTGAACACCATGTATAGTACATGAAGATTAGAGTGTTTTCAAGGTAAGAAGTAACTTGGAAAGTAGCCCAGTTGAACATTGTCCAGAACATAGGCTTCTCTTTATAATGAGTCATAGAGCTCAGGTTGTGAAATATGTCCTGACTTGCTCTGTGGGGTTAAAGTTCAGAGTATACAAAGCTTCCTCAACTCCCTGCTTTTTGTCCTTTTTGCAACGTTGGTGATTGATGTTAAAGACTAATCAATCTTCAGTGTGGACGTCATTCCTCTATAGTCAAGCGATCTTGGATGAATTTGCCTGAGGTGGACTGATGCTGGGTTTAAATGGAATATGTGACACCCTCAGCTCTTGAGAATGGGCCCTTAAAGCTTTGTGTGTCTGGTAGTATTGGAATGAATGATACTTTGTGGAAGTGAGTGTGTTTTGTTGTGCATGTGTGAGCACAGAAGAAGGAGGGTCATTGTTAGAGGTCCAGCAACAAACAGGCGAGCCAGGGCAGTTGGACAGGCCTGGCAGTCTGTCATTGGTGTTAAAACACGGTCTTTGTCCCTCAACAAAAGGCTTTTTCAGAACCTGAGATGCAAAGACCTCTTTTGCATTTGACATTTTCACAGAAAATGTACAATTATAATGAAAATAATCCATCGATAATGTCGTGCAGAGTTTGAATTGTTGTCCTGTGGCCGGCTCCACTTTTAGCCAATTATATATTTCAATTTTTAAACTGCTTTGTCAACCAGGGAAGTTCCTGTGTGTGTAATGTTTTTTGATTATTATTATTTCTCTTCTACCTAGGTGTTGGAAGAATGGACGACACATACATCATATGAAATTGGACTAGAGATAGAGAAAGCAGCTCTAGAGACGCTATCATCACACAATGAACACCAAGAACAGGTAACACCATATACCAGTTCTTAAAGAGTCTCAAAAACATCTGGTGCAAATCCTAAAAAAACATGCATCAAAGAAACACAAATAGAGATCAGGGTATTTCAACTGTTATTCAAGCAACGAATAGACAAATGTTCTTTTCTTCATTGCTGCCAACTTCTAAAGGATGGTTGTCTATTGTATTCACAACTTATACATTCCACTACACCCAGTAATAGGAAGGAGGAAAACTGAATAAGGAACAAGTTGGTTGTAGTAATGTCCACTTATGGCTTTTAAAGCTATTTTTCCCTACTTTGTGCCTCACAATCTTCCAGTTTAAATATCATAATTGTGACCCAATACATGAATCAAGAAAGGCTGTATATATTCTAAGAATCTTGAGGATTTACAGAGAATTGTTGCTAACTTTTTTTTAAGATGTTGATTGGATTTTCTTCTAAACATAAATGTTTTTTGTGTTGTCTCTAGACTGTGAATGCTCTGGAAGCTGAGGTGGAGGAGACCAAGTCGGACCCACAGTCCAATACTGTACTTGTTGCTCTTGAGCCAGAACCCCACCCAGACCCCCAGGCTGATGTGGAGCAGCAGACTGACACCCAGGACAATGCACAGGAAGTCCCTCTGTCCTCCACCCCAGAACCAGTTCCAGCACAAGGCCAAGTGTCTCCCGATGTCCCGGCCCCAGCAGAGACCCTCAGTGACCCCTCTGCTGCACAACCCAACGTGGACTCACACCCAGCCACATCCCCAGATGAAGCTGAACACACACCTACCTCACAGAGTGCCAGCCAGACCCACACAGGGTAAGCTCAGATTCACTTCCTCATTGCAGAGACTGTTCTCTGGCATACGAAGTTGGCTTTAACCACAGACAAGTAACATTGGAGAACTAAAACTAGAAAGACATGTTGCTTTCAAGATGGTTCAAGCCAGTTTCAACCAAATGTTGGTATATTGAAGGTACAACTATTTCCATTGCACCTTTGCTTTGATATTTATGTTGGTTTGTTCTGTTCCTTCAGTTTGTATCTTATTTAGTTTGTTTTATTTATTTTACCACTGTCAATTAACTGATCACAAATGGAGAGAAAAGAGAGCTGGTCTGACAGCCTGGACATTTGAAAGGCACTTCAAGGAATTGGTGACAAGCGTGGAGAAGTTACAAGGAGCTCAACATACACAGTGAAAATGTGTCTAATGGACTTTGGTGGACATTGTGGAAAATCACCTGTACTGACATGGAACTTTGGCCAAGACAATTCTGGATATCCCCTGCGTCCAGTCTTCAAGATCATTATGTCCATCCGGTGGAAAGTTTAGATTCAACTCCTCTCCAAAGAACATCAGGACATTTCAAAAAGGACACATCAACGGCATCTCCACCGTTCTCTCCATCCCTTTTGTCCTTCCAATTCTCTCTGCTCTCTCCCTACGCTCTGTGTCCTCCTATATCCTCTTCCTCTCTCTCCCCCCCCCCCCCCATCTTCCCCTCTCCCCCCCCCCCCCCATCTTCCCCTCTCTACCCTCCCCATTGTGAAGAGGTGTGGTAAACGCCATGTCCTTTCTTTCCCTCAGTGCTGTGCGGGTTGCCAGTGCAGGAGATGAACTCCCAGTAGACAACTTAGTCTTTGCTGAGCACTCTGATTCACAGTGCAGGGTCATTCCCCCCGAACTGGCAACCTGTCCTCTCTTAAGGTGAGTTTTTAACCAGGAAGCCAATCAAAGCGCAGAGACAGGTAATCAAACTACACCTCTCTGCTGTGCGCAACCGTGGACCGCTGGCCTTGCTCTCCACTTCTGCTTTTTTTTATTATTTCCTTTTTCCATCGTTTTGCCTGTGCACAACCAAGGACTGTCAATTCTGTCAAATACGTTTTGCATCGATGTGTCCAACATTGCCGAGTACTAACTTGTGTTCTCAACTCTTCTTCTCCTTATTCCTCCTCCCTCCACCTCCATCTCTTCCCTCCACCTCCATCTCTTCCCTCCACCTCATCGGCCCCGTGTCTGTAATATAGTGTGGATGAGGCCGGCCTAGAGGACCAGCAGCCGGACCACAGCCAAAGCTCTGGTTCTGAAGCCGAGGTCCAGTCTACTCCGGGCCCTGTGGACCAGGAACAACAACAACAACAACAACAACAACAACAACAACAACAACAACAACTACAGCAGCAACAGGAGGCGCAGGACCTGGAGGAAGGGCTGGCTGATTTGGACCAGGAGGGCAACACTTCTCAACACGATGAACCACAGGTCGGCAGCGTGTGGTTTCTAAATATATTTATATGTATTATAAATGTAAACTGAGAAACAGCCAACATCCAAAGCTTTAAATAACAACTAAATGCAACAATTATCAGTGCAGGAATAACCAGTTGGAGCTTTAATCATAAGCAGAATAACCTCGATATCTTCAGGAACGCAGGCATTTCTACTGTTCCTACGAGTCTCAGTGCCTGTTTTGATTGTGGATCTTTTCAGTAGGCGTGGGCAGAGACGATGCAGTGCGCCAGGTGTCGTCATGGAAAATGTAACTAATAGATCCTAATCAGAGAGAAACAGACAGGTGGTGAGAAACCACAGCTGACAGCTTCAAGGGCATCTTGTATCTCTTCCTGTTAACTAAAACACCTTAAACTGGTGACAAAAATGTCATATAATATAAAACTATTCTGCACACTTTTTCAATGTTATTATATATAATATATATTATTATATTGTGGGGTATTTAAACATTATAATGCTGTTTTGGAATCAAGATCTAGTGAGTAATGTGTTACTGGTTGTAAATGACTCCTGCCAAATACTTTGAAGTGTTTAACTTAAAGAGGCTGTCTAAGTTGATGGATTTTTAGCATCAGACTTGCTTTTGATGTCCAAAATGGTGATTATATAATCCATCCAAATATTATCCACAGCTCCGTGCATCTCAATGCTTTAGCGGCCAGAGGCTAGCTGACTAACATGCGTGTGTTCGTGACTGGTCAAAGCATGCAATCCTTGTAGTGGATCACTGATGCCAGGATACAACATTAGTCACAATAAGCAATACTTAGATACATTTACAATGGACTGTGCTCAAGATAACAGGGTATAAGGATATTAGGTGAATGTGGTGATGGAGGTAAACTGTCATTAAAGGCCTGTGTGTGATACCACTGTGTGTGTGTGTTTCAGGCAGGGGAGGGCAATATTGCCAGAGAGCCTGATCCCCCAGTGCCCCGCAAAGAAGACATCCCCACCTTCGACGAGTGGAAGAAACAAGTCATGGAGGTGGAGAAGGAGAAAAGTGAGTGCATAAATGATTAAAACACATCTAGATACAGACGCTTAGCAACTACTGAGTGCAATGACCCATTAAGTTTCTGCTACAGAGGCTTTCTTCAAGGCGCCTTTTCTCTCAGAGATAGAATATTCTAATAGCATGATGATAAACTCACTATGCTATAATCTACATGTCAGCTGCTTCGTTTTTCCTTTTTGCGACTATTGTTTTATCTCCATTTATCATCTCTCTTTTGCTTCCTCCCCCCCGGTTCTATTCCTGTCCATCTCTCCATCTCCCTTCCTCTTCTCTCGTTCTGCCTGCACAGTGTTCAGCAGAGCATGTGTTTATGGGTGTTGCGTAACCTCTCTACTTCTTCCTCTCAGGGCTCGTAATGTGACTAATGTAACACTCCCTCTGCCCAGGTCAGTCTCTCCATACCTCGAGCAGCGGCAGCCCCCATCCAGTGAAGAAGGTCCAGAAAAACTTCAAGAATAACTACGCCTCTGTGGAGTGTGGTGCCAAGATACTCTCGGCAAACAACGAGGCCAAGGTTAAACACGCATCCTTCTTTCATGTTTTATGAGCAATTTTACATTTGAGATAGGAATGAAAGCTTAACCTGGGACAGCAGATTAGGTTTACATGAAACAATGTTCACTGTGTTTGGCTGTTATATATTAACTAAATGAATTAAACTAGCTATAATGGCTGATGCTAATGTTATCACTCTCGTTCTTGTGTCTCATGTTCAGAGCACTTCAGCTATTCTCATGGAGAATATGGACCTTTACATGCTAAATCCATGCAGCAACAAAATCTGGTGAGTACACCGACGCACCCCACTGGTACATAAATAAAGCCTGATTCAAGATGTACACAATTCACATCATTTTATTGTATAATTAACATTTTCTATTTACCTCTCTCCAGGTTTGTCATAGAGCTCTGTGAGCCCATTCAAGTCAAGCAGCTGGACATTGCTAACTTTGAGCTCTTCTCATCAACACCTAAAGACTTTTTGGTTTCCATCAGTGACAGGTATACTCCCACAGTACAATATCAAGTCATATTCAAATTGATAGGGTATCCAGTCCAATTGTTTGCTGTGTCAGTCACATTGCATCATCCTTTGCAGTTGATTATTGCATGTATTGGCAGGGTTTGCTGAAGAAAAGGTAGAAGGAAGCAGCTGGCCAGTACCTGTGATACAAGTCAATTTGGTTTACATTTCACAATATTAAATTGTATTGGCAATATGTACAGCATCTTCTGTCATTAAACCCAGGAGGAGCAGCTGAGCATAAATCCCTCTCCTGGGATGGAAAGACATGCAATTGATACATAATAAAGAGTACATAATACAATTACAATATAGACAATTAAGGGTAGGTTAAAAATGGTATATTGAGAATAATTCTGAGGCATAATCATTGCTTCACATGGACTGACACTTCTAACGCATTTAGTTTAATGAACAAGCCATAATGTATACAAAATGTATTATTTAAATTACACGACAGCCTTTGGAATGTCAGTATTTTTGTAATGGCATAAATCCCTTAGCCACTAAACACTTTTTAGTTGGACAGGTTGATTTTGATCTTGATGGGTGGGAGAAAATGTTTAATTAAAGGCGTCACTTGTTGTTCTATTAAAAGAACTGGTTCAAATCATTTTCTTCCTCCTGTATTATCAGCTTTAACTTAAATGCTGGTAGAGTTGGTTTTGTTTGTGTTTTACCATCACCATTTTCATGTGACATGGAGTCACATGAAAATGCAGTGGCCTTTACACCCAGCCTTAGAGAGAGCATGCCACATCGTGATTGAATAACCCTGTAGCCCTCACACACATCTTACCTTCCTCCTGTTCTGTCTGCAGATATCCTACCAACAAGTGGGTAAAACTAGGTACTTTTCACGCCCGTGACGAGCGCATTGTCCAGAGCTTCCCACTGGATGAGCAGCTTTATGCTAAATATGTGAAGGTAATGCTTTGTTCTTCTCTCTGCTACAATATGCCACTTGTGCGTCTAAATATGAGAAACAGTAACAATGGATAAATTCATTCTCAGTGAAATGACGGTCCTAGTTAATGAAAACACACATGGACACATTCATACACATGTTTGTTGAGCTCAGGGGACCCTCTTATGACTTCATGGTAAGTTAGCCATGCCGTAAGCACTGCTGTCAACCTCTCCCTCTATTGTATGAAGACATGGGACTGTGTGCATGACTGAGGGGTGTGTCCATGACAGAGTGTCACGTGTAAGAACTGAAGGGCAGATTGGGCAGATACACATTACTATTTGGTTTAATTATATTTGGGTGTCACAACTCATCGGGCCGAGTTGGTCCACGTCTGCCAGTCTTCATATTGAATCATCAGTGTGTGACGTGAAAGGATTACAGTTGTTTGCTTAAGTTACTAACAGTTGTTTTCATTAAGATGAATTCAAACTCTAGACTTTTTTTACCATCCACAAATTCACTCTGAAATACATGTTGCTGTGACGTGTCTGTGCTTTTCTGATCTGTCTGTCTCCTCACATGTATGTTGCTCACTTGATATTCACTTTAATTTCATTGAAACAGTTGATTAATGCTCTGAGGATTATCCTTATGTGGTTTGGGTTTTATGTTTGGGTGCTTACTGTGATTCACATGCTCTATCATGAAATAATTGTGCTGTTCATACTTAAACAGATTTTTGTCTAGAAAGTTTCAGGATTCTCTTTTTTTGCTAACTCGACTGATCTGAGCAGCTGAACACTTTTGTGTCTTTGTCTGATGTTTAACCTCTGTCCTGAGCGTCTCTCTCGCTCGTGCTTCTTTCCTACTGCTTGCCAGAAACCTCTTTCTAGTACCTTGCCTGTGGACTGTTATGGAGAAATGAGCGTGTACCAGCAGTGTGTTTTTGTCTCACGTGATAGCCAGACTGTAAGCAAAAAATGCTTGACTTGCTTGTAGCGTGAATCAGTCTTTACTGATTTCTTTCTCTTTGTTTTATTTCTCTCACCTGTCTTTCTCCTGTCTTCCTCTCGCATCAGATGTTCATCAAGTACATAAAGGTTAGCACTCTTCTCTATCTGTCAGAGGTTATGCTGTGCTGTATAATGCACTCTTGTAATGGCCGTACACTGTAATGGGTGAGCTTTGGCAGAGGATCATCTTTAATGCATGTGATAGATATTAAGCATTAGAACATGCACATAATATAATGTCAACGCTTGGCAATTCTAGTATTGATGTTCACATATTTGGTGGGTTTATGGAGTGGGCACGCATAAATGATTGGCATTGTTACTTGTGAATGATACTTTGAATTCAACAGTTTATCCATTTCCCCTGCAGGTTGAACTCCTCTCCCACTTTGGATCAGAGCACTTCTGTCCACTCAGTCTCATTAGGTAAGACGGTAAATAGTTAAGGTCTTTAGTTAAAATTCAAAGGTCTTTTTTAACATTTCAATCTATGAAGTTTGGGTACAGCTGCAGCTTACTTTGTGAGAAAATACTATGCTTTGTTCTAAAGAAATAAAAACACTGTATGGGAACAATAAATAGTTTGTACTTACATCCACTCACTTCTTTATTTTGGGAAGAAGTGTCAATCCACTTATCATGAAGTCACTTGACTTTGATTTTACACATGGGGAAAAATGTACTGTACCCAATGTTTTTTTTATCAAGAAGAATGACTCATGTTGTTCATTATGAAATTGATCAATATTAGATTATCCAAGAAATGTAGTGGATCTTTTGATCACTCTTTTATTCTCTCCCTCTTCTAGTGGTTGTTTGGAATGCTTCATGTCACCGGTCAATGTGTTTTTTTACCTGTTTTCGTATACGATTTACTCCAAAGGTCAAACCTTCTAGTACATACAGCTTATCTCACAAACACACATGGCACGTATATCTATACGTCTCTCCCAGATCACCAGGGTCATCGGGGCTTCTTCTGACGGCAATGCTGTTGGGGTTTAAAGCGGCTGTAAAACAATAAACCTACTAGAGATTACACTTGTCTTTCTTTGATTCTGATCCGAGCAACATGTTTTTAGAAAATGTGCCCCTCCCAGAAAGCTTTAGCCAACAATGTAAACCTTAACCTATTTCTGTAGGTAGGCTTGTTTGTGTAACACAGTGTGTGCGGGTGTTTTGTGTAGGGTGTTTGGTACCAGCATGGTGGAGGAGTATGAAGAGATTGCAGATTCCCAGTATCCCTCAGAGAGGCTGGAGTATTTGGATGAAGACTTTGGTAAGATGCCGGTGACCCGTTTTCAACATCAGCTGAAAATGTACTCTAACTTAACTAATAGATGAATGGACTACAAACAATAACGTTTTAAAGCTGCCTCACCTGGCAGAACAATGCACTGTACTACAAAAGACCCTGAGAAGAGTCAAATTACATTACTGCTTTCTAACTAAGTCACTAAGTAACTGAAGATGGAGTTAACTATTAATATCAACGGCCTTATGCAGCGGAGTTCCCTTCGTTGAACCCTAATTCTGTTTGGGATATTTCATTGTAGAATTCCATAAAAGCACAATAATATTTATTTAGTGTTGAACAATATATATTTTTTGGAGTAAAGTTAAGTATTTTGCTGAATATAACATGCAGTATTTCCTTTTCTTCAGACTATCCACCTGGCTACCAACCTTCAGAGGACATGGCGTCTAAAAACCTGCTTGGCTCAGCAACCAGTATGTACACACACACACAGACACACACAGACAAACACACATGTATATATGGCTCTATTAAGAAAGTTGTATAGCAAGTTAAGTGCAACAATTTAGTACAAAAATATTTAAAAAGGTTAGGTTTGTTGTGTGTTTAGCATTTGCATTATTATCCTTTAACTGTTCCAAAGATATATAAGACCTTAAAAAGAGGAACACATTACTCAGGAATTTAAAGGACTGGAGGTCGGGTATTTTTCTAGCTTTATTGGTTTTATTTTTGCCAAGAAATCCTCCTCATTCTGTAACGGTGGCAGCAGTGTATAATTTTGAGCTTTCATATCTTAAAACTGAAATAGTCTGGTGAAACTGATACTGTCTGTAAAGGAAAATAGTTATGAAAGTATATTTTGTTTTTGCATCATGTGAGTATTCTTGGTCCATAACTCTCGGAGTCGATGGAGTCCCACACACCAGTGTGTTTGCGGAGTTGGATATAGATTCCCTGCACAGTGTTTCCTTGGTTTTCTTAACCTAGTTGGTATCACACATGCAGACTGGGGTTTTGGTTACAACATTATGCAGATTCCACAAGACTTTTTTATTTTAGTTTTTTAACCACACACTCTTGCGCAAACACACTGGTGCCCCTCTGTCTCCTGAGCAGAAAGAGTACTGGTCAACCCCTACACACACAGGCTTTACAAACAAACCTTCGGGGCTAACCCTAAAATCTGAAGAAAGATCTGGAAAGAAAGTCATGTAGGGGATATAATGTTAAAGAAGTTTAAAAAAGCTCATGTTTGGCCCCAAATCTCTGTGTTGACTTATTTACTAGGAACTTCATGCGTTATAAAAGAACTGTTTTATTTTCCTTTTTATAGATGCCATCCTCAACATGGTAAACAACATTGCTGCTAACGTGCTGGGCGGCAAGCCGGAGCTGGAGGGTGGAACAGTAGCAGGAGGTACTCATCCCTCAAACACTTAAAGCTTCCTGTTCCTATTTTCCATCCTGTTCACCTTTCATGTCCACAACTCTCTTCTGTAAATTGTGACTTATCGGATTTTCCCTCTATAGCTCTGCCCATGCTGCATACAACATCTTTCACTAGTTTGACGTATTGTCATAGTTTTGATTAAAACAATTATTTAATATCTTGGAATACAGAACTATATGCATTCACGAACTTTAGTTTGTAGTGAAGATTGACATATTTTAAAGGTAACCATGGTATTTAAAGGTCTCTTATGGGCAAAGTGAAACTGTTCTGGAAGCCATTTACACGAATAGTTTTCAAAGCTGCTTGACACGCAGTAACAGGCTTAATTATAGTTTAAGAGATAATAGGGTCCAACATTATTACGGTATTAACCCAGCCTCTGTACATACTCTCTTTTAATAGAAGGCCCTGACATGCATTTGTTTTTATTCTGTTTGAACAACCACACCTCCTAACAGTCGATATAAAGTAAAACTGGTTTATCCATTTAAAACCGCTGATCGTTTCCATTTCTCAGAAAAGGTTGTTCGGCACGAGTCGCCAAACTAGTTTTGAATTCAATCACAAAGTAGTCTTTTGGAGCCCTATTGGATAATTCACTGTCACTTCTGATTAATAGTTAGTAGGAAAGGTGTTCACATTCATTTATTCTTTATTCATATTTTGTTTTTGTGCATGCAAACCTGATTGGAAACATCAGGAACGAATATGACGAAAAGTTTATAGTCTTGCCTGAGGAGGAAAGTTGATTAATTGATACGAATAAAATGAAACCAAAAGAACACCTGAGTTTCTGTTTCTCCCAAGAAATAGCATATCAAAAGGAAAGCTAATAACAGCTCCATAAAGTATTAAGAAACAAAGAAGAAGAAACGCATTTAAATAAATACTGAGAATATTGCACAACGCTAGTTAGTGGAAACGCTGTTATTCAAAGACCTTTTTAGAAGTACTATAACTATTTTTAACACATTCCATATAAACCACCTCTTCTGTTCTTATTTTGCGGCGCTCATCCTGCTCATACTATCCTTTTTCAGCTGTTCCTTTTTCTTTCCCTCTAACTGCCAGCTTGCCACATGTCTGCCCACATATTGTTTAAATTTACTGCTGCTCAAACTAGGTCATTTTCTTTCCTTCTCCAGTGTGAGCATATGCATAGCCTTGAATGTCCATGTGTATGCCAGCTGAGAGTCAGATGTTTATTTGACTGTCGGCTGGAGGTCTCCTGCAGCGTTTCAGCAGAACTTTGGCTATCTGTGTTTTACCTTTTGGCAGTGGAGAGTAGATGAATTCAGACTGAGGGGGGCCTATGACGCCACAGCCTGCTCCTTGTCCTGTTTATGCCACAGAGAGTTACATCAAAATGACTCTCTTACTCAGCTTTCCCCTGATGCATGGAGTTAAAGGGAAAACTCTGCTTTACACACAGATTTCACAGAATGTTTATATTTTTAGTTTCTGCTCTTGAACAGTTTCTGTTAAGATGTGTGTTTCTCTCCTGTAATTAAACAAGTATCTTTTGCAAAGACCAACTGAGAACACCCGACCACTTGTAGTCGGGATGTAGATTTATTTTACTTTGAGCTACCGCACAAATTAAGTCTACTTTATAAAATTCAATTTGACACAGTGAACTTACGCCAAAAATGTCATTAAATTAAGTCAACCTTTCTTTATTGTTTTAGCAAAAAGTGTCTTTGCATTTCTAGGGCTGATTTGCATTTACACCCGCAGGGAAGAGAGAGTGTGGGAGAGAGAAGTCGGTTCTAACTGGACTGAACTGGTTCACATTATTTCTGGCTTTCCCAAACATGGGCTTGTCAGCCATTCTGTGGAGCGAAAAGGGTCTCTGTTCCCCACTCTGCCTCCTGCAGGCAACTAGGATTTGGGAGAAACTTGCCACTGCACTAAAAGTGATATCTTCCTGTGAACTCTGCGACAGTGACCAACTGTTTGATTGTTGTGTTTTTCTCAATGCAGTTAATACAACAGCAGAGGTGGAGGAAAAGAAGGAGAGCGCAGAAGTTGCACCTAAACCAGCTGAAACACCTCCGGACCCTGCAGTGTAAGACCAATAAACCTTAATGAATTAAAAATGATTTATAGGTCACAGAAGGATGAGTTCAAATAAGATGACAACAATATAGTGTTGTTTTACTTCACTTTTCCTTTTACTATCCTCCAGGAAAACCAAGCTCTGATTTATATGCTTCTAAATCAGTATCTGTCCCTCTTCCAGACCGGAGCCTGCAGAGCCAGATCCCCCTGCAGCCCAGGAGGACTGTGATATCTCCAATGACTCTTCCACGCCTTCCCCCTCATCTACCGACTCCCAGGAGGACAGACAGATTGTCACTTTGGTAGAGGAGGAGGAGGAGGACGAAGAGCCCAGACAGTCCACTGTCACCCTGATGGAGGATGAGGCAGACGAGGAGGAAGAGAAGACTGAGGAGTCATCGAGGAAGGAGGCGGACAGGAACCAGTGGGACAGCCAGACTTACTGTCCCTTCTCCTCCTTCTCCTCCCTGTCTCTGTCCTGCATGGCCACCCTGCCGGAGCTGCTCCACCGCTGGTGCTCCGCCCGGCTGGCCAAGGAGAGGCAACGCAGCGTAAAGCGGAAGCAGCTGAGCTCACAAACACAGACTGATGTAAACCCCCCTTCCCTCACTCACCCACCTCCACTTATCCCTGTCCCTGTTCCCACACCCCTTAAAGAAGCCCCTCCCCTCACAGAAAAGGCCCCAGAGCCCGAGCTTCCCGTTGAGGCCCAACATGAAGGGAAAGCCTCGGGTGAGGTGCCCACCACACATCCAAACACTGACACCCCTGACACACAAACTCCAGAGGTTAACATCGTCCTGGAGCCTAGCAGGACCGCCACTATCCCCCCTCACAGTTTCTCAGACATCCACAGTTCCCTGACATCGCCCACCCCCAGCCACGAGGAGAAGCTGCCCCCTCCCATTAAAGACGCGGCTCTCGACCCCGTCCCTACTCCATCCCTCCCTGCTGTCTCCATCCCGGAGACGCAACATGCCTCCAGTGCCACCCCAACCTTAACTTTCAGCCCCCCCCCACAGCCTGGAGCCTCTGAGACGGCCTCTCCTGGTGCTGTGGTTCCCCCCGCCAAGGAGCAGCCCGTTCAGTTGCTTCCCACTGCGTCGAGGCCTGAAGACCTGATCCCCCCCCTCACTGAACTGCCCACAGCTCTCCCACCCACAGACACAGAGACTGTAAAGCCAGGCGCAGACAGTGGGGACTCACAGAGACAAAATGTCCAGGCCTCACAGACTAACGGGGAGCAGGGGGACTCTCTCACTCACACTGGAGATCGTGTGGAGGACTCAGTGGACGAGTTCCTGTTGAGCACCAATGGGAATGGCAATGTCCATCGCACAGCTACAGACTTCTATGCAGAGCTGCAGAACGGAGGAGATTATAACGGTGGAGCAATGACCGGGAACGGCATGTTGTTGAACGGGGGAGCGGTGCACGGCTCCAGCCAGAAGGAGAGTGTTTTCATGAGGCTGAACAACAGGATCAAAGCCCTGGAGATGAACATGAGTCTGTCCAGCAGATACCTGGAGGAGCTCAGCCAGAGGTAACCCTCTGCACACAATAAGCCTTAGTATTATAAAGTTATATTAAGATGGTACTTCCCTTAAGTCTGTTGTTTGGATATGCTTCAAAATGAATGGCAGGGCTGTGTACCATGAATTTATAATGTTTGCACTTTGGAAGAGTTTCACAAAGTTTGTCATTTCTGTGTACCTCTCAGATACCGTAAACAGATGGAAGAGATGCAGAGAGCGTTCAATAAGACCATCATCAAACTACAGAACACCTCCCGCATCGCTGAGGAGCAGGTCGGTTTACAAGAAGGCTACAAGAGCAAGAAAAGCATTCACAGTTGTGTGTGTTTGTTTGATTATTAACTATCGACATTGGCTGACAAATTAGTAACTTTGTGATTTGACAGGACCAGAGGCAGACGGACTCAATCCAGATCCTGCACAGCCAGCTGGAGAACGTCAGTAAACTGATGCTCAACCTCACCGACACAGTGAGCCAGCTTCAGAGAGAGGTAAATGAAACCTTTATCTGTTATACTGCACACTGCTTACAGGAGTCAGCAAATAGTGAAAATGTGAAGTTCAAATCTAAGCTTATTTGTTAACATGACACAGCATTAAGCTTACTATATTTATGGGTTTTATACAAGAGAATAAATCCCTGGAAATTAGGATTTCATTTGTTTATCAGAATCAGAAACAGCTTTATTACCAGGTAGGTTGACACGTACGAAGAATTTGACTTGATGTCATGGTGCGTACATACGGGATCATCACTCGCACCAACTCATCCGACCACATCACCCCCATTCTCACTCAGCTACACTGGCTTCCTGTACGCTACCCTATTGACTACGAAAACCTTCTACTCACTTATAAAGCTTTCCATAACCTTGCCCCCATCTACATCACCAACCTCCTTCAGGAGTACACCCTCTCCCGCACCCTCCGCTCTTCGTCCGTAGGATTTCTCACCGTCCCAAGCTCTCGCCTCAGCACCATGGGTGCTCGAGCTTTCAGCTGCTCGGCTCCCAGACTCTGGAACTCCCTGCCACTACATATCCGACAGTCTGATTCCATAACAACATTCAAAACCCACCTGTTCAAACTGGCATTTTCTTTATAAACTGTGTCCTTTTGTGTCCTTTTGTGTCCTTTTGTGTCCTTTTGTGTCCTTTTGTGTCCTTTTGTGTCCTTCTGTAGTCCATTTCCTGTTTGTCTTGTTTTACCCCGGCTGATATTTCACTAAATCCACTGTTTTAATTGTTCCCTATATTGCCCCTATGCCCTGTAAGGTGTCCTGGGGTGCTATGAAAGGCGCCCCCCAAATAAAATGTATTATTATTATAAAAGTAAAACAATAATTAAAAACACAGACGGAGAACTAGAAAAATATAAAAAATAATAAAAAATATAGTATATAACAGTATTTACATAGAAATAGAATGGAATAAAATATGGAATAAAAATCGGCAGTAAAAAAAAGAAAACGGATATTGTTGTACATTGTGTGCAACCTGTGATTTAAAAAAACCTACTGTGTCCATGTTTAATAATACACTTTAAATCTAATAAATACTTTGCCATCTTTAAGGTATTAATTTGTTAACATGTGTGCATACATGGGTGAAGTTTTAAATGATTGTTGGACTTGACCAGCCTCTCACTGTGTGCCTCTCCTCTGCAGGTGTCGGACCGGCAGAGCTACCTGGTGGTGTCCCTGGTCCTGTGTCTCACTCTGGGCCTCCTGCTGTGTCTGCAGTGCTGCCGCAGCCCCTCTCCCTCCCCCAACCCCATCGCTGCTGCCCTCCCCAAGAGCAACCACTACCCCAGCCCCAAGAGGTTTGTCTCACACACACACACACACACACACACACACACACACACACACACACACACACACACACACACACCACACACACACACACACACACACACACACACACACACACATTCACTTACACACACTCCCCTTACATGTGAATATGGCGTAGGCTTGAATGTTCCTCCAGTTTTAGATCTGTCATCATGATCTCCTACACCCAGTTTTATGATGCTGCTTTCAAATAAAACATATTACTTACATCACTTGTGACTTCATTGCCAGAGGCTGTCACTCCTGTCCTGCCACTCATGTTAAGACTCTGGAACAGTGACAATGCAAACAACACAAATGTCAATGTAATTCTTCTTGTCAGGTGTTTCTCCTCCTATGACGATATGAGCCTAAAGCGCAGGGTGACCAATCCGCTCGTTCGCTCCAAGTCCTTTCACTTGTCCTCTACAGAAGGTAAGATCCCCCCCCCCCCCCACACACACACACACACACGTACACACTATACTCAAGTCTGCCCTCAAACCTTTCCTCTGTCCTTCTATCTATTGTTGCTCTTTCTTCTGTAATCATTACGTTATAAGCTACATTAAGGCTTGACACTACAGTCATAGCTCATTGCAAAGATCACATTATCGCGGCTATAGACCTTTTTAAGATGTTGCATCAGACTGCTGCGCCTCTTTCCGCATAACTGTCCCTATTTAAGTAGTATCCTTTCCTTTCTACTCCTTTTCTCTTTCAAACTCTCATCTGGTTTCCTCTCTCACATGTTGCCATGCTTAGTGGCCGATATCTCTGTTGTTGCCAGTTCCTCGAGCGACACGAGCCCAAAGGGAGAGGCTGGTGCCGGCAATAAAATGAATAAATTCTTTGACTCATGAAACCTTAAACTCCCCCTGCTGTTCATTATCCCCTCAACTATGTGATTGAGTGTGCGGGTGTGTGTGTTTGCCCTTGAGTCTGAGGGGCTGTCATTGCCAGCTTGTGCCCACATGCAGGCTTAAGAAATGTATAATAATAGAGCATGGTGCTTTGCTGGCTCATGGTAGACATTTGCAAGTAGTAACAGATAATGACATAACAGACTTTCACTGTGATTTTAGCTTTACCCTTGTTTTTAGTTTAAGAAAATACAATTAGCGATGATTAAAATGGATGTTTGCATCTTTAATTAAAACTACTTGCAAGGTCACTTCATGCTTATTACATGTATGTATTCCTGTTTGCCATTCCATCATTAACCTAGCCCCTCTCTCCCCTCCCCAGTAGGTCCCGATGACTTGTACATTGTAGAACCTCTAAGGTTTTCTCCAGAGAAAAAGGTACAGTGTATGTTCCACCTGCTGTTGGCTGTGACGGCCGTCGTTTTAATAACTTAAGTGCTGTGTGTTTTCTGGTGTCAGTCAGTCTGTACTATAAGTATGCTGAAGCAGTGAATGGCTTCTTCGCCAGTCACTGCTTTCTGATCTCAGTGGAAGAGCTCCGATAAGGGGGCACCTGAACAGTGTTATTATTGAGACCAAATACCTGTTAACCACTTCTTTGCGAACACCGTGGGCAATTTAAAAACACTTCCCACTCAAAACAGTTTGCAATGTGAATCATTTGCTGTGTACTTATATTACAAGATTCAAGGCTTTATTGTCATGTGCACATTGGCTACAGTGTAGATATGGCAATGACAAACTTCAGTCGCAGGCTCCTCCAGCAGTGCAACATGAATATATAGAACGGATCAAATGGTGCAAGAGAACAGTACAGCTTTGGGATCAGTTATAAATACGTTGTTTAGATAAGAAGCTTTGATACTTGGTTCCTCCAAACCCTAGATTCAATCTTTCCCTATGGAACTTCCCCACCCATCTTTGTGTGACCTTAGTGTTCAGCACAGTAGTGGTTAATATGGCGTGACAATATTTGATGTATCTTTGCTTTGTCTAAATGTTTTTTCATCATTTCTTCCCGTTTTCTGTTTTCCTTGCAGAAAAAGCGCTGCAAGTCAAAGTCTTTGGACAAGGTTGACATTCTGAAGCTGGCCGACCCCTGTGCTCCTCTCACAAACGGGGCTCTGAACTGCAACGGCTTCCAACCTTGCCCCCCTTCCCCCCCTCCTCCACCACCACCCCCTCCTCCTCCTCCTCCTCCTCCTTCTCTTCCACCACCTCCTTCTTCCTCGGCGGAGGAGGCGTCGCCACTGCCCACCTGCACCTCCTCAGAGACCAGCAGCTGCAGCTCGTCCACCCACTCTGAGGAGTCCTACACGAGCCGCCTCCCCCCCCCCCTCCCCCATCCGCTCCTCCACAGACCTGTGCAATGGACACAGCCTGCCTTTCTCCCTCCAGCAGTCTCACACCAAGTCCCGGCAGGAGAAGCGCTCGATGAAGAGGAGGAAGTCGCGGCAGATGGAGCTGCAGTTCCCTGCCCTGCGTGGGGGGGGCGTGGGTTCTCTGCCCAGCCTGCAGCAGCTCATGAAGGGAAACAAGGAGATCAGTGTCGGGACCATCGGGGTGACGGCAGTCACCGGACATGTCTGAAAGCCCACACTTTAACACAACTTTCTACTCGCAACACACACTATGTGGTGGCAGATCTATGAGGAGATGAGGTACTTACTGCATCCCAAAGAACCACATTTCCCATGAGCACCCAGGCGCACCGTGGAACTGAAATGGCTGTGGCAGCAGAAGCTCCACAACAACCAGTCCTTATCCACTCCTGTCAAAGAGCTGTTTACGGTTATGTGCCTTTATATCTGTTCTAGACATTTTAAAGCTAAAAATATTAAATGTAAAGAATTGTGCGTACAAGAGAGAAACTGCGGTGGGGAGGGAAACATTTAATCAAGTCAAATCCATTGAAGTGTGTTCAAGGTGTTTTTTCTTCTTGATAAGCACATTGTCCCATGACAGTTGAGCACCAGTAAGCTTTTATCCCCACAAAGTGAGGAGGCCTCAGCTCTACGTTCCTTCACCCCCGGGGGCATCAAGAAGTATTAGGCTTCTCTTTTGGATGAATTGTGTCGTCGTGACAGACGTGGGGAGCACGACAAACTACTTCTCTTCTTTCATTGCCATCGTTTAATCCATTCTGCCTCTGTATTGCATCCTCACATGACTGCAGGTGTGTGTCATGGGACCAGAGTGTTTCAGCTTTCATTGCACAGCCATGCAATGCTCCTCTTCCTCTGTCTCCGTCAGTCTGTTCCAAGCCAACCATCAGAGCTGAATGAAGAACATCACGTTACCTGTCTGAATGTGTTAGTCCTCTCAGTTTAGTGTCCTGTTTAACCTCAAATTACAAATACAATCCCAGCAGTCTGTAGGTCCTACTAGGCCACGAAGAGATATTTCCTACTCGGTCAGTTTGGGCTGGGCCCGAAAAGCTTGCACATACACCCATTACAGAGAAATTGCAATAATACAGAAAAATGTTGTGACTGTGAGGAATGTAAAGTGAAGAACAGGCTAGAGGCAAGCCATGGTGTTCTATTTTCTTTTTCTTCGTATATAACTGAGCCATGCTCCTCTTTTATCGTTGCTGGTGTGGTTGGTTTGAATTATTCACATTACCAGTATGTAGACATGCATTTCCTGTTTTCGAGTACAATGTACTTTAGGAGCACATTGGGCTGCAGAGCTGAATGTTTACACACACACACGCACACACACACACACACACACCTCCTACTGGGAATCCGACAGACCAGTTTTATTTATGTATTTATTTATTTAAATGACTACAGATGTTTTTAACCTAACTTGCATGTCTCCCGATCCTGCAGTGTCAAATTAGTTGATCCTCGCGAGTATGTTACAGAAATATGACAGTGAAATGCACTCAACCGCACTGACACATGGCCATGGTAGATGGCTTAACCACGGACAGTTTTCTTTTTTTTACATTTTATCTTCGGCTCCGACATTATGGCCGCCACTTATTCTGTTTACCTCGGCCTGAATGATCAGATGTGATAGCAGTCACATGTCCTGCAGCAGATAATATGATCCTTTTAGTATTGATTTACACAACTGCAGGCTTTTTAGGATCGTCACACTGCTGGTTTTGTATTTGCTAAGAGCTGCTGGGTAGGTGGAAATAGTGGAAGTGAGTGTAAATTATTTGTCTTTCTTCTGTGTGCTTGTTTTAGCATCTTTGTTGGATCGCTATCCAAGCGATTTTAACTCGCCCCGTTTATGATCACATGACTGACCTGCGCTAAGACTCAGATTTGAATATGTGAGAAGGGGTATTCTTTTCTCGTTTTGTTTTTGAATAATAAAATATATTTTTTATTTTCTTATGTATGTCTCTGACTGGCACTGTGTGGTTGGTCTTGTGAACATTATGACCGAGACAGAGATTTTTCATCTTACTCCATCAAAAGACACCATTACCTCTGCTTCTACAGCTCCTTTGTCTTTACATATCTTTACCCACCAAGGTCACCTGACCTCCATTGCACGACTTTCCGTAACTGTGAACAAAAGTTGAATATGCCTGCATTTATTAACCACTCTAACATGTTCTCATTAGGAGATAAAAGTGCTTATCACTCTTCACGCCTGCTTTCCCGACTAGCTAATTATTTTCATTGTGCATCTTCACTCTCATTGTACGCTCTAGTCTTTTAATCACTTGTCATTGCTCTTTGACTTCGGTTTTTTGCCCCACCTTGAATGATACTTGTGGTTTGTGAGGAGAAGATTACGAATCTATGAATAAAGGGAACGCAGCAAAGATGGTTAAATTCGGAACACTATAATTGTGATTCTGTATGTTCCACAAACCAAGCAAATCATGAGTTTTTTTTTTTACCCTTTTTGAATGTGTATGATCTTACGTTTGTGTGTGTGTAAACCCGTATGCATGTGAGAGTTATTTGTTGTTGATCTCATGTATGTGTGTCTGTGCTGTGAGAGACTACTTTGAATTTACTTACCCCGAAACGCAGCGAATAGGGAGAATGTCCTCGGAGAGAAGTTCTAGGAGCTCAGTGTGCACTTTGTATAACTCCTCATGCCTTTTTGTTTTTCTACCTTAAGCGTCAAGTGCTATCTTTTCTCTCTCCCTCTCTCTGATTACTCTGAAGAGCTGCAGAGTATTTTGGAGCAACAGTGAGTTACTACAAAACTGTAGTGCCATTACAAACTGTGAATTTCTAAATAAAACCTTTTTTTGTTGTCTTTCACTTTGTTGTTGGTTTTTATTATGGATGAAGAGAGACTGACGCTCACTACCCAAGTAATGTAGGATGCTTTGAAACTGACTGTTGGAGAATAATTCACATGAATGTGCATGTGATATATCCGGCAAACTTCACCTGCTTGGCTTATAAAAACAACACGTACTTGGGCTTTTTTTTTTGTTAAGTGTTAAACAGCAGTCAATACGTTTGGGTATGATAAACAAGCTTTAAAAAGCTCTTGCTATGAATTGAAATCCAGCAGGGCAGTTTGGGTCTGTCTTAAGCCATCATCATGCACTGTGCAGCTATATTACTTGATAGTAAAGATACATAATTGTACATAAACACTGTGATGAGGACATTTATATTTTTGACCGAGATTCTTGTTGACTTTCAAAAAGTGAATGTAACATTAGACTAGCGCCTTTAGGACAAATAACTTAACACCAACCGACAAAAGTAACTTCTTTGGTGACTTGTTTTTCAAAAGGGTTGATCTATTGACAAGAGATAAAGAAGAACAGGAGCACATTGTGCAATTAGATAAGAGTCTCATTGTTAATCATTACGTGATTACTTTCAATAACATGTATATGTTTATATAACATGGCAATTTTTAAATGTATTCAACTTTTTCCTGATGGCTGTACAAAATACAACAGCATTCCACATGTTGTCAGTTCTGTTTTCGTAAGGCTATTACATTTGACCAACTGTCAAATTCTGAAAATAAGAGCATTTTATTTTCATTGAATATGTTTTGAGATGAGAGAAGAAATAATATTTTTGGAGCCCAAATGATTGTGGCAGTCAACTTTTTCAGTTTAAGAAGTAAAATGTGTCATGTTAATAAAGAGAATTCAAATTAGATTACATTATTGTAATGAAAAGCAGTAGCCTGCCTTGCTTAAAATGGTCATATAATCTTTATTCAGTAATTGACTTTATTTCAAAGTAATCAGACTCAACCCTGACTGATTAAACAGTGGATATGATACCTCCCACCACCAGGGGTCACTGTGAGCGGAGCTGAGCGCTGTCTTCTTTCCGCTCTCTCTCCTCTCATGTTTACGTTTATCCACCAAGATGGAGGACGAGGTGGATGTTGACATCGAAGGAGACGAGTTTGATAGCAGTATAAGGTGAGAATATTTCCTATTTCTGTTTATTTAACATTCATGCAGTGTGTTAGTCTTGTGTGGTTTAGTGCGCACTAGTTACGGAGACCTGGTGGTTGTTTTCAGTCCTCAGTGAAGGCTATAGCTGCGGCTCTTGTGTGTCAGGTGGATGATATCTGTCTCTTCAGTCCGTGTTACTGTTGTCTCCTTGTGTTTGTGTTGCAGTGAACTGGGTGGAGGAGGTTTAGTCCAGGAGAAGTTCATCCAGTCTGCGTGGAAGAGCAGCGCAGGGATACTGGTATGAGTTCGCGGAGCTAACAGCTAGTCCTTCAGCTCTTGTGTGATGCTTGTTGTGTTGACTGTGTGTGTGTCTCTGTCTCTGTGTTGTGCAGCCATGGGAGCTGGACAACTCCATCAGCGCAGAGAACAGGGAGGTGATAGAGAGGATGCTGCTGGAGGAACAGTATCCTTTCACTGGCCTCAAATGCATCTCATAACACTGGGAGGGATGTTGTCATAATGGCTGCATAATGAACAGTCTTAAGTGGCTATACTGCAGATCTGAGAGTTGCCAATCCGCAATGGTAGGGGTTCATGCTAGTGCAAAGGACAGGCCATGGATTTTCAAAAAGAAAGGCAGTGGTCACAAGCAGGAGGGGGGTATTACTGAGTTACTACATTCAAATATCAATCATGTTTTTCCACAATCACAGACTCCCCCTTTATAATTGTCTTGACCAGATTATGAAGTGTCTTATTCATTTCTGTTTAGATATTTTTTAATTGAATAAAACTCCTTCACAGATGCATCTAACTACCGAAATGTGAACATTTTCAATTACAAAGATTAATGATGAATCATTTAATATAACATCATTTTTAGAGCGTTTTAAAGAAGTACATTTATTAAACAATTTCTTAGTAAAGTTTTTTTAATTGATACATTGGGTGACATTAATGTGTTTTTCTGTTCCCCGTCGTTGTCACCTGTACTGTTTGTATAATACATTTTGAATATATTGGTCCTGAACCAAACATTTAGATACTACCTGACAGGTGAGGGGACTCCTAACCAGATTTGGGAAGGTGATGTTAACCACAATGCCGAAGTGAAGAAGTAAGTAAACCCTTTCTCCAGCATTCACATGAGCAGAGTGCACCTCGTGGATTAAATCACACTTTCTCCTGTCTAATGTTCAGGTCTCCAGCTAAGACCTCGTCCTCGGCCTCAGGCTCCTCTTCTCGTTGGTCCAAAGAGGAGAAAGACCTGTTTGAGGAAGGACTGGTAAGCTTACCTGTTAATAAATTGTTGTAAAGGTTAATAGGCATGTAACGTATTACTTTTTAGTGTATTTTTAAAGATATTCGGTCGCTAAGGTGTGTTTTTCTGCAGACTCAGTTTGGTAGGAGGTGGACTAAGATTTCCAAGTTGGTTGGAAGTCGTTCCATTCTTCAGGTCAAGAGTTATGCCAGACAGTATTTCAAACACAAGGTGAGATTTCGCTTTCTACCTTTGTTTGTCTGCTACCTCCGCAACACTCGGCACACTCACACATTTCAGTTAGTTAACTCTCGCCTGAGGTTTATGCTACTTAGAATACCTTTTGTTTTCCTCATTATTTAAATGATTTCACAAGCAGAACACATTCCTCAGGACGGCTCGGTAAATAAGAATGAGGAATAAACAAACTCTTTCGTCATCTGCATTTCTTTTCAGGTTAAATCAGAACCCAGAGCTGCAGCCCCCTCTGCTGGTCCTTCAGCGCCTCTACAACCACCTCAGCCCACCTCCAGTCATGCATCCATGCTTACAAACACTGTCCGCATAGAGAGGCTTTCTGATGAAGAGGACGAGGAGGTGGACATCACTGATGACCTGAGTGAGGACGGAGATGCTAAACCGCAGGTTGTGATCAAAACTGAGATCTGTGAGCCAGAGCAGCCACAGAGCTCTGAGATCCAGAAAGATTCAGAGGAGCAGAATCATCTGACTGAGACAAGGGACCAGCCCAGCCCCCCGCTCACTGTCTCCACAAAGTCCTCAACACTCCCCCTCTTCCTCAGAGAAGACTAGTGTTACTGGGATAGATGAGAAAGACAATGACAGAGAATATCTCCAGCCAGAAAACGTTCAGGCAGCAGCTCAGACAGACTTGGAGCAAATGACTGATGAAATCAAGGGCCAGAGCTCCCAGTCTAAATACTCAGCAAAGTGGGATCAACTGGAAGAGGCCTGTGGTGATGGAACAGGTAAGATTAAAACCTGCTGTTTTTATGGAGATCTACCACATCATGATATCACCAAGTTCTTTGCTTGTGAAGTAACACTGCGTTCGTTTATCCTCCCAGATTCTGCCGATAAGACCGAGCAGAGTCCAACCGATGAAGATCAGGAGGTGGAAGAGTACGAGGAAGAGGAAGAGGAAGAGCTTAAGGTGCCTGAGCAGGAAGTAGAGTTGGAGATGGACACCATTACCGAGGATGAGAAACAAGCTATCCCAGAGTTCTTTGAGGGAAGACCATCCAAGACCCCCGAAAGATATCTTAAGATTCGAAACTACATCCTGGATCAATGGTAAAACTGCATAGACATTTGGGAATTTGTTCCCAACTGTAGAGAATAAGATGTTAATAATTGTTTTGTTCACCAGGTTAAAGATCAGGCCCAAGTACCTGAACAAGACGTCTGTCCGCCCTGGACTGAAGAACTGCGGAGATGTAAACTGCATCGGGAGAATACACACCTACCTGGAGCTCATCGGAGCTATCAACTTCAACTGCGGTAACCTCACTGAGACGCCATTCTTCTCTTATTCAAAAATAAATCTTGCTTCTGTTTCATTTGGAGCTGTGCCTCTTCTCTCACAGAGCAAGCGGTGTATAATCGCCCAAGGGTGTTGGACCGCTCCAAGCATAAGGAGGGCAAAGATGTGCTGGAGGCCTACCAGATTGCCCAGAGGCTGCAGAGCATGGTAGGTACCCATATTCTCCCATAATGCACCCAACATCAAGAACCTAACATATGAGTTTGTTGGACTTTGTGCTAATTGCTGGGGGGCTTCACGTTTTAGCGGACCAGGAAGCGCCGTGTGCGGGACGTATTAGGAAACTGGTGTGACTCTAAGGATTTGGAGGGGCAGACGTATGAGGTTTGGACACACAAACACACACTGCAGTTGTACAGCAGATTATTGATTACTAATTTGCTTTGGTATTTCATTGTAACTGTGTTGGTGGCTTTTTTAACAGCATCTCAGTGCCGGGGAGCTCGCTCTGCGGAGAGAAGAGATGAAGAAGCACCCCAAACCCTGCAAGATCCCCAGATTCAAAGGGTGAGCTCGATGAGTCCATGTGCTGAATGTTTGAAAGGCTTGTAATGTATACATTTATATTTCTGTAACTATAATTGGTTTCCCTCCTTTCTCTAGGTCTTTTGATCCCTTCCAGTTGATTCCCTGCAGGTATTTTGGAGAGGATGTACAGGTAAGTGGCCAGCATTTATCAGTTATGTGACGTGTATGCTCTATAGATTTGTAATTATTTAAAGCCCTTCTTTGCTGTTCCCCCAGGAACCATTCCAGGTTATTGTGTGTGCAGAAACCCTTCTCATAATGGACATGGTATGCTATACACACAACCACACATGCTGGATGCATTGGATATCACAATTACATGTTATTTAGCTTGACGTTTCTTCAGTGTGCTGCATGCAACATGAACTGTTAACTGTTTAAGAACGTTTAAGTAAGCCCTATACAATCTTTATTGTTTTGTTATTTAACATTCTGAAACAACTCTATTTGTTATTCTGTATTTTATTTATTATACTGTATTGTATTCTAATGTTTCAAAAATCCAATGTGTCATGATTGTCAGCATGCCCACGTGTCTCGAGGGGAAGTCATTGGCCTGCTAGGTGGAATTTTCAATGAGGAAGACAGAGTATTAAAGGTAGGAAAATGTGATAGAAGTGCAAAACAATGAGAAGTGAGATCTTTAATTACTATTCAGTATTTGGAAATGTGTTTTTAGTAATAGAGGATTCTGTGTCTTTGCAGATCTGTGCAGCGGAGCCATGTAACAGTGTGAGTACAGGTTTGCAGTGTGAGATGGACCCGGTGTCTCAGACTCAGGCCTGTGACGTGCTGTCCAACCTGGGCTTCAGTGTGGTGGGCTGGTACCACTCACATCCCACCTTCCACCCCAACCCTTCAGTTCGGGACATCACCACACAGGACCAGTTCCAGGTAAAAAAGAATGGATGAGAGAAGATGGAGTTTGTCTAAGACCCTGATTACACTTCTATGATGATGGGATCACAAGTGGAGAGCGATAAATATATGTGTAAACTACTACATAGACATATTGTGATCACTCAGACCTGTGCATCACAACTTGAATGTATCTCAGTCTAAGTTCTGTTTGGTTCTCAAAGCTGGCATTATCCACTATCTAAATGATCAAAAGATTTCAAAAAGCACAGAGACGTTTAGGAATACACAAAGGATTAAAGAGTGTCTGTATTCTTTTGTTTTGTTTGGATGTGCCTTCCCCTGAATAAAATCAACTGCAATTGGTCTTAGCCAAAATAAATGAAATACATGTCTTTTTGCATTTTGAGCAGGTAAGTGAGATCCAATCAGAAGTGGTCACTCGAGATGCGTTCTATACCAGGAATGAACTGACTACATGTGATCAAATCACCCAGGAGGCATGTTATTGCCAGGTATTAACAGGTCCCATATGAACATGTGATCTGATTCCCTTTTTCCTGATTGTTACAGAGTTATTTCTCGCGTGGCGGCGCCCCCTTCATCGGGATGATCGTGAGCCCATATGACCCAGCCAACCCCTCCCCCCACTCCCAAACTACATGCTTGTTGGTGAAAGAGAGCCAGGAGCCTTCAGGCCCACAGAGTACGTTCAACACACACACACACACACACACACACACACACACACACACACACACACACACACACACACACACACGAAGACATGATTCAAAACAGTTAAGATCAAGAGGCTTTGAAATCAAGCTGACAATGTAGGTCAGTATTTTCAGCACACAGTGACACAGTTTATCCTCTGGCTGAGTATATCTCTCTGTTCCTCCCCCAGAGCTGCCCTACAGATTCGACTTCCTGTCATCACAAGATATTCCAGACTGGGAACAAACATGGAGGAGAGCTCAGTGGATCATCCATAAATACAGTCAAACACCATGGTGAGTGAGAAACAAAACAGTTGTGTTTATCCTGACATGCGTTGGGGTAATGCTGATCCTGTGTTTGTGTGATTTGGAACACACTCTTCAAAACTTCTTAAAGCTTAATATTGGAATAAATAAACTGGTTTTTTTCCACTCTGGGTAGGAGTGTGAAGATGGACAGATGTTTCCGGAAAGACTCCACTCTCACCTTTCTGGAGAAGGTTTGTCCAGGCTACCTGCTTTTCTCACATCTTAGTGGCTAATGGCTTTATTCTCTGATTATATCTTATGTCATTTTACTTGACCTCTTCCATCCATCACCTCCCCTCAGATGCTGTCGTCTCTGGCCAGGTACCTGGAGCCCCTGCCAGATGAGGAGGGAGACCCCTTCCTCACCCGGATCCAGGCCCTCTTCCAGTCTGACTTTATTTCCAAGCAGCAACCGCCTGACCAGGAAGAGGGGGAATCTTTAAATATCTCATCCAGACCAGTGGACTCAGATGACTTTGCTTTTGATCAGCTGATCAGTGAGGATATACCTCCTGAGGCAGGAAGAGGCTCTGATCCAGAGTCTGGCAGAGCTTCAGACAGCAGTGTTCAGACCACAGACACATCCTCAGAGATGAATAGCAGCACAGTGTTACATCTGGGCTCTGTGCTGTCATCTGAACATGACTATTTACTGTGAGGGACAACATATCATAATCTGACTGTACTTGTACGTAATACAGTATTAAACAATGTATAAACATGTATGTAAATATGATAAGGTTTTGTATCAGTATTATCATTTAGTTTTCTAACAATTTTATGTTTTTAGTGAAGTAATTTAGTCAAAACTAAATATAGAGAGAAGTAGAAAGAGAGGAGATTGGGTTATTGAATGAAAATCATTTCACATTCTCAGTTCTGCAGGTTCCTTTTTAAACGGGAAAATAAAATCTATTTTCATATTTGGTTGTCTTGTCACTTGTTCCTGTATTATCTGCAAAACTTAAATACAATTAAAATAAATAAAAAACTATTATATAGTCTTAAAAGCGGGAACGTATAAATGTTTCTCTTACAGTAGACTACTGTTACAGTTTGTAGAAAACATTACAACACATGCCGACAGGAAATATTTTTTAAATAAATGGGTGGGGGGATATGGGCAAGGCAAGGCAAGTTTATAGCACCTTTCAGCACACGGCAATTCAAAGTGCTTTACAAATTCAAATAAAAATACATTTAAGAATAAATACAGCAGAAACACATTATACAATGGCATTTAAAAACAGGCTTTCAAAAGCAAAGATAATAAAATAAACACAACAGGTATAGAATACATGAATAAAAGCCATACTGCAGTGGATATAAACAATATATGTTTTTAGTCTGGATTTAAAAGTATTAAGAGTTGCAGCGGACCTGCAGGATTCAGGGAGTTTGTTCCAGATAGTCGGGGCATAATAGCTAAACGCTGCTTCTCCATGTTTAGTTCTTACTCTTGGAACAGAGAGCAGACCCGTCCCAGAGGACCTGAGACTCCTGGATGGTTCATAGTTTTGCAGGAGATCGTTAATATAATTTGGTCCTAAACCATTCAGTGCTTTAAAAACCAGCAGCAGTACTTTAAAATCAATTGTTTGACAGACTGGAAGCCAGTGTAAAGACTTCAGAATTGGACTGATGTGATCCACTCTTTTAGTGTTTGTGAGAACTCGAGCAGCAGCATTCTGAGTCAGCTGCAGCTTTCTAATAGATTTTTGAGTGAGACCTGTGAAGACACCATTACAGTAGTCGAGTCTGCTGAAAATAAAAGCATGGACAAGTTTTTCCAAATCCTGTTATGACATTAGTCTTTTAATCCTAGATATGTTCTTAAGGTGATAGTATGCAGACCTAATATCAGTTGCAATGTGACTGTTAAAATGCAGGTCAGAGTCCATCACTACACCTAGATGTCTTGCTTTATTTGTTGTTTTGAAGTCTGCCGACTGAAGCTCTGCGATGACTTTTATTCGTTCCTCAGTTTTCTTTTTGTTCAATTGGAGAAAGTTCCTACTCATCCAGTAATTTATGTGCTCAATGCACTTACTCAGTGTTGAAATTGGAGAATAGTCTCCTGGTGAAATTGTTATACATTTGGGTGTCATCTGCATAGCTATGATAACTTAGGTCGTTGTTTTTCATTATTTGAGCCAGTGGTAGCATATAGATATTAAAAAGCAGAGGTCCTAAAATGGAGCCTTGAGGAACCCCTCATGTCATATTTGTCAACGCTGATGTGTAGTTGCCTTGAGACAACGTTTTTTCTGTCCTTTAAAGGGGACCTATCATGCAAAATGCACTTTTGTACGTCTTTTATACATGAATATGTGTCCCCGGTGTTCCAGGGAACTCACCAAGTATCAGAAAACACAACCCTCTCTATTTTCCTCCATACCCAAATCTCTAAAAAAGGGGCTGCAACGGATCTGATAAAAACTGATCCAGATTTGAACACTGTCCGACGTCAGGACAGTGGCGCTACCGCTATTGGGCCAACTCCACCAATCAGGAGGAGACAGCCACGGCCATTGCCGTTCGAAAGCGCTGGAGACGCTGTAGTACATATGCCAGGCCAGTAGATGGTGCTGTTCTCACAGAATCAGCCCTTGCAAAAACAGAGCTAGAAATTGTCAAATTGAGCAAAATGAGGCATGGCTAAAATGCATGATCTGTTTGGTATTTTGAAAAAAAAGAAGTATAAATATGCCTTATATAGGTATGGTCCTACACTATATTATTCAAATATAGCATGATAGGTCCACTTTAAGTAGGATTCAAACCAATTTAGAACTGTTGCCGAAAGTCCCACCCAGTTTTCTAGTCGGTCTAGCAATATGTTGTGGTCAACAGTATCAAATGCAGCGCTGAGCCTGAGATCTAATACTAACACTGAGATTCAGCCACTGTCTGTGTTTAGGTGGATCATTGAAGACTTCAACAAGAGCAGTGCTGTGGTGTGGAGGAAAGCCTGACTGGAACACATCAAAACCGTTATTTAAAAGCATGAAATGACTCAGCTGTTGAAAAACTACTTTTTCAATAATTTTGCCTAAAAATGGGAGGTTTGATATTGGCCTATAATTATTCATTACGGATGCGTCTCTAGATTATGCTTTTTTAAGACTGTTTTAATTATTATCAGGGCCTGTGGAAATACACCCGAGTGGAGAGGCTTGTTTACTATGTGAAGTAGATCTGAGGCCATGCAATGAAAAATGAAGAAGAGCCTTCTTATTCTCTAATCAACAAATAAAAAAATAAAATACATACAAATACCACGAATTCATACACATAATACAAGCTTGTATATTGTGCGCCCGGAACCTTTATTCGCGGACTTGTTTCTAGGGGGAATCATTTTGGAAGCAGGAGCGTCAAATGCCAAAACAACCAAAGTTAACGTCCAGTATACTGAGGTTTTCGCGTCGCATGGAAACTTAAATGTTTAAACTTGACGTGGAAAAGTTTTATAATTAAACATACGTTTAGTATAGATGCAAATAAATAAGCATAAGGCTGTCGGTTAGCGGTTACAAGGTGACTTGTCGGTAGCGTCCATCGGTATCAATGACATTGACAGCTGGGAACAGTTGTTCGATATGATATTAAAGAAGCTAAGTAAAATAATATAACAAAGTTACGTGAACGTCCTACGATAGACATTTCTACATCAAGATGAGGAAGTCCAGCCCACTCAGACAATAGGTGTTGTCCGTAGTTTCAAAAGACCTGGCTGCTGTTTGCTTATACAGTACGTAGAGTGTTTATTTACCAGTAAGGACGATGGTTTTACTTTATGTTAATATCTTAAGGAGCAGTCGTTTCTGTTCTCTGTCTGCACATCTGACAAGAAACTACAAACAAGCTGGACTTCATGTGAAGAAGGCACCCTTCTCTTCTCAGATCAGCTGTTATAGAACAACAAACTCTGTTCACCTCAGATCCCCTCAGACAGCACCGCATCTCTTACTCTGTAGCAATGGGAGGAGAGCGTGTTTCCAGATTACTCCCAAACCCACCTCACCCCTGCCCTCAGGACCCCACTTCCACACCTCTGCCCCTGTGAGGGCCCTGCCTGCTCCTCTGCTGTGGCTGCTGCTCAAACCTCTACAGAAGATCACAGCTGTAATCCTGGGCAGGTAGGAGACACTGGTTATATACATTTAAATTAAGACATGTGTTCATTGCTCTGAAGGCACACTCTAGTTTTATTATATGTAATGTATAATGTGTTTATGTATAATGAACTGTTTTACCAACAGTTGTATCAATAGATTATTTAAATACTTGGGAGTCATTTATGTTTACCGATGGCACGTCATTATTGTTTGGCTATCTTTTTTTCTTGCAGTATTATTTTGGACACTTGGTCGCTTCCATAAGATGCAAAGGGTTACATATAGAGTCAGGGGCATTTGAAACAGGAATAGAAGGCACATGTATAGGCATACAGCACAAACAGTTTTCAGCAGACCACAGAAACGCGCTACAACTTGCAGATTAGGAGGATCTGTACGGTCCATGTTGTAACTGCCTCAAGTAACAACTAAACAGCAAATACTGCAGTGACTATGGAATTTGGTCTGGAATGGAAAGAAGGTTTTGTAAAAATTGCCTGAAAAAATAGTGCCTTCTTCTTCTCTAATCAACACTGAAGTGGCCTGACTATAATAGTTTCATTTGGCACACATAAAAAAACACTATCAGCAAAGCATCATTCATTTATTTGGTTTTATTTTGGGTCAGAGATCTGAATTTGGACACATTTTTAGCCCCTCATCATGGAACTCCCCGCAATACAGAGAGTTGCTTTGTTTAGTATCTATTCCAAAAAGTCCTGGCCTACTTGTCTACTTAAATATTTTACGGCTTCCTCTGGAAAGGCGCACAAAATGATGTCAACATTTTATGTTGTCAACATATATTATGCATGTTTTGAAGCTACTTTGAGATATCAGTGTTTCTTATCTGCTTAATTCCAAACATTTAAATTCTTCAGAAATGACAGGACCTAAAATTATCCTTTTAGTTGAATTGTTTACCACTTTTGGGCAGTATATGATTTTAAAGACTGTGTCAGCTACATAAACAGTTTTCACCTCTTCTGTGTGCAGGAGTATCAGGAAGTGGTGGGTGGCTCTACCACCAAACCGCCAGCATCTCATGCGCGAATGGATTCGTCATCGCCGCTGGCATCTGATATCTGGAGCAGGCGTTGCTATGGTGATTTTAGCCCTCCTTCTCCTTACCCACCTGGACGAGTCCCCGGTGACGGGGCGGACCCGCCTCCTGGTGTTCAGCCGAGAGAAATACATGGAGCTGGCAGCTCTGACTTCAGAGGCGGTGAGAGAATGAGGGAGGGGGATAACATATGTGTGATTAGCATGGTGATTATGTCCCAACCTTTACTGTCAAATGTACCCCCACAGCCCTTTCAAATGAGCTCAAGTACCCCTTCATCACCTCGACCAGTCAACTTCACCTGTCATATTAATCATTATTCATTACCCTTTTATTCAATTATACTGTCTTTGTGGGCCTCTGTATAGCTCACAGGTTAGAGCTGGTTCCCCATGAACTGAGGGTCAGGTCACTCTCCAATAAAGGCTAAACTTGCCCAAAAATCTTAAAAATAATAAATTGCTTCCAATGTTAAAAACATGGAAGTTTCAACTATTTAATCATTACTTTTAGCAAATATGTTAATCATACTTTTAGTAATTATACAACCCAGTCTCACGGCATTTCGTGTTATTAGTCACGAAATTAATTTAATCTATTGATTCGTGTTCACCAACACGATTTTCACATTTTTTTCGTGTCACACAGAACAATTTTAAATGCAATGTATTTCTATTGGTAGTATGTTTCGTGCCTGCAACACGTGTTTTTGTCCGGTCGGGTCTTGGAAGACCAGAAG